CCGCTTCCGCACCATTCAAAGGGTGATGCTTCGCAAGCAATCGGTTGGGACACTGCAAAAGCGAATGCCAAGAAGCTAAGGGAAAAGAAGGAGCAGAGCAGCAGAAGCAGACCAAGCATCAGGGAAACGCTAGGAGTTGTAGCAGACGGGCCCTCTACTGACAGGTCATGCCTTTCACCCTACCCAACCGATCCTCACCGAGTGACATAGCCGATTCACGCAGTCGACCACACTCGGCTGAACAAGGAGGGATCAACGGCAGATGGTCCCATAATTCTTTGCAGGAAGATTCACACCGACATAGTTCAAAACTTCATCCGCGCTACTGTGGCCCATTCCAGGTCAACTTACTTCGCCCATGCATCCCAACCACGAGCCAACTGCCACGCCATCACCCACCATCGATGACGCATTCTGCATAAGAGCTGATCGTTGACCCAAAGGAAATTCAGGCCATCGGATTCGCCACCCAACAGGAGCCCACAGGATTGAGTTCCTCATTCGCTGGAAGGAGTGCACCCCTACAGAAGATAGTTGGGTGCCCCTAGCCAACATCGAAAACCTGTCTAAAAACCAACACTGGGGATGCCCGATTGATCCTAGGGAAGGGTTACAGGCTCGCTGGCCTGGGGGGTTATTGGCGTACTGACCTGCTACTTAACAAGCCCTTTTATCCCAGTGGTCTAGTGACTGGGATTTTGACAAAACCATCCTATCCTCCAAATGTACCTTCGAAGCTGAGGATTCCACGATCTACACGCACTTGCGTAGCGGAAGGGCTTCTTGGGGAGGGGGGTAGTCTAAGGAAATTTGTTCCATTCCTTACTGCAAACCTCAACATCGCGTACAAGACCAACTGTTTCTTCGCCCGCCTTCGCGGGCCACATTTGCCAAACCATGCAAAGCTGTCCTACCCTGAGCCGGCCTGCGCTTCGGGGCTAGCCCGAACCTTGCTGCAAGCATCGCACTAGCTAGCTCGCACACATCGCGCTCCCCTTTGCTAGTTTTCGCTATAAATTTTTGCTCATGCGTTCTTTCACATTTGTACTCGTTTGCCACTTAGTGCAATCCTCGCTACTTCGATACATTGCACCCGTAACAATATTGTAAAACCCAGGCACTCACATTTTTTTGTCAACTGGAGACATTTACAAATAATTATTACACTAGTTGTCGGTTGCTTGGATTCGAATACAAAGCGCATGCCCTGGCGAAATGACGTGTCAAATGTTATATCTGCTACAGTTTGTTTAGGGTGTAGTGGGGTAGTTACTATGGGGTACAATGCGTTTAGGGTTTCCTACTTGTACCCAACCATTTCCTAGTGCAAACACTTCTCTCATTCTCACATGGTATCAAAGCCTAGGTTAGGAACCTAGGACCACTTACCTAAGGGCCCACCGTTCCGCTAGAAGCGCCCTCGAGCGCCCTATCGCCTTCGCGCCCTCGTGTGCCTCTCTGTTAGTGCGCTCTCGCGCGCCTCTTTCTCTCACGCTGCCCGTTTTTGTTTTTAGCGCGCGTAGCCCGCTAGCCGCCCGCGCGCGGTTCAATTCGTGCGCGCGTCGACCGTTAGCCGCCCGCACAACCAGCGCCGCCCACGAGCAGCCCGCTAGCCGCCCGTCGACCGGCCCTACTGGCCGTCCAGCGCAACGCAGCCTCGCCAGTAGGCCGCCGCGTCGCTTTTGTAGGCCGCCGCGCGCGCACAATTGCAGCCCATGCACAGCAGCGGCCCGTACGCAACAGCCGCCCACGCGCAGGCCCGCCGTCGCGCCACCCTGCCCGTCTGAACCGTGCCGCGTAGCCTAGTCCGAGCCGCGCCGCGCCACCCTGACAGAGCCGCGCCGTCCTGACCGAGCCGCGCCGCCCTACTGTGCCCCACTTGCAGCACCTGCTGTTCCTATTACTGCTACTGCTACTACGTTTACTACTGCTACTGTCCCTACTACTGCTACTGCCACTATGGCCAATCCTACTGTTCTCACTTTTGACGCTAAGGGCCATCCGATTAAGTTTGACGTTTGGCTCGATGACCAGCTCCTGTTCCTCCATATCACTGCCAAGGACGATGTTTCCTTGTTTGACCACACGTTCGGTGCCGCTCCCGCACCTGCTGCTACTGCTGACAGCATTGCTCGCTCACAGTGGCAGACCCGTGACGCTCATGCTCGCATAGCATTTCGCAGCCACCTGCCGTTAGATGAGCACGAGCACTTTGGCCAGCATAAGACCGCTAAGGAGCTGTACGATGCTGTAGTTGCACGCTACTCCTCCCCTCCTACTTTTGCGATAGGCCGTCTCTCACTGCCCTATCTCTTCCCCGATCTGTCTGCCTTCGCCACTGTAGCTGACCTCATCACGCACCTCCGTACTAGTGATCTTCGCTACCGTGCCGCGCTTCCCCCCGATTTCCTAGCTAAGAACCCTCCTCCGATGTACCTCACACTCTACAACCTAGTCACCCGCCTCCCTGATTCTCTTCGCACTGACAGGGACCACTTTCTCGCCCTCTCCCCCACTGACCTCACTGTCGACCTGCTCGAGAAGGAAGTCCTAGCAGCTGAGAAAAGCATTGTAGCTGTAGGTGCCTCTCGTGGCGACCCTCGCACTCCCTTCTTTGAGGGGTGCTCCCCCGTCCCCCTCCTCCCCTCCATTGCATCTGCTGGTGCTGTCGACTACCTCGGTGCTGAGGGGGTCGGGGCTGCGTCTGCTCCTAGTGGGAGGCGCAAGGGCGGTAGGGGCAAGGGGGGCAGGGGTGGTGGAGGTGGTGGCGGGGGCGGCGGTGGTGGAGGGGGTGGAGGCGGCGGGGGTGGTGGCAGTGGTGGGAGTGATGCTGGTGGTGGGGGGGTCAGTGGCGGAAGCGGGGGTGGTGGCGGCGGCGGTGGCGGGGGTGGTGGTGGCAGTAGAGGCGGCAGTGTAGCTGGTGGCGGCAGTGTAGCTGGTGGCGGGCGCGGTGGAGCGGTGCAGCGTGGGGGGATCAGCGGTGGCCAGAGGCAGCAGCAGCAGCGTCCCAGCGAGACCCCGTCGGCCCAGCAGCTCCGTGAGTGGTACTCTCAGCGTGGGGGGTCTGGGGGTGGAGGTACCTGCCCGTACGTCATCCGCACAGGTGACCGCAATGGCCAGACCTGTGGGAGGTTTCACACGGCGCACCGGTGCTTCTTTCGTCTTGACAACGCCTGGCGCGAGCAGTTCCCTGACGCCTCTGAGCTGCCCCGCTGGGCTGATCTGCTTAAAAAGAACATTGATATCTTTGCTCTTGATTTTGATGCTATCCTTGGTGCTATGTATGCATTGACTATTAATGTTGAGGGTGACTGTTACCTGCGTGTACCGCCCAACCCGAGTATTGGGACCAGTGAGGCTGCCGCTCTAGGTGCTAGTGCGTCTGCTGCCCTAGGTCCTGGTGAGTCCGCATGACACCCACCCACCACCAGCACCATGAACAGGAGCTCTGGTTGAGGTAGGGGAGCGATGGTAGAGTGAGAGGGGAGAGAGAGGGGATTAAATAGTCAGAGCGAAAGACGGGAGAGTAGGCAGAGTGAGAGGGCACCGTACGCCCAGCGCGAGGGTTCATGTTCTCCTCGTACGAGGAGTCTCAACTTCCACTGCAGCCACCCCCCTGCACGCTACGCCGCATGCCACACGCGTGACCAGCAGCACCTTTTACAGTGGCTCTGGACGAGGAGGGAGAGGGACGGGATAGAGAGGGGAGGGAGGAGCGGCGGACAGAAAGGGGGCCGCGTGGGGTTGACAGATACGGCTTCCTCTATTCCCTCCGCTGCATGACACCCACACCACCCCCAGCACCATGAACAGGGGCTCTCGCAGAGGGAGGGGAGGGATGGGAGAGAGAGGGGAGTGAGATGAAGGATGACTGCTATGCTTAGCTATCCCTCCGCCGCATGACACCCACACCACCCCCAGCACCATGAACATGGGCTCTCGCAGAGGGAGGGGAGGGATGGGAGAGAGGGTGCAGGGAGAGGAAGGATAGCTGCTATGGTGAGCTATCACTTCGCCGTATGACACCCACCCCACCACCAGCACCATGAACAGGAGTTCTGGTTGAGGTAGGGGAGCGATGGTCGAGTGAGAGGGGAGAGAGAGGGGATTAAATAGTCAGAGCAAAAGATGGGAGAGTAGGCAGAGTGAGAGGGCACTGTACGCCCAGCGCGAGGGTTCAGGTTCTCCTCGTACGAGGAGTCTCAACTTCCACTGCAGCCACCCCTCTGCACGCTACGCCGCATGCCACACGCGTGACCAGCAGCACCTTTTACACTGGCTCTGGACGAGGAGGGAGAGGGACGGGATAGAGAGGGGAGGGAGGAGCGGCGGACAGAAAGGGGGCCGCGTGGGGTTGACAGATACGGCTTCCTCTATTCCCTCCGCTGCATGACACCCACACCACCCCCAGCACCATGAACAGGGGCTCTCGCAGAGGGAGGGGAGGGATGGGAGAGAGAGGGGAGTGAGATGAAGGATGACTGCTATGCTTAGCTATCCCTCCGCCGCATGACACCCACACCACCCCCAGCACCATGAACATGGGCTCTCGCAGAGGGAGGGGAGGGATGGGAGAGAGAGGGGAGTGAGATGAAGGATGACTGCTATGCTTAGCTATCCCTCCGCCGCATGACACCCACACCACCCCCAGCACCATGAACATGGGCTCTCGCAGAGGGAGGGGAGGGATGGGAGAGAGGGGGGAGGGATGGGAAGGATAACTGCTGCGATTTACGATCACTCTGCCGCATGACACCCACCCCACCACCAGCACCATGAACAGGAGCTCTGGTTGAGGTAGGGGAGCGATGGTAGAGTGAGAGGGGAGAGAGAGGGGATTAAATAGTCAGAGCGAAAGACGGGAGAGTAGGCAGAGTGAGAGGGCACCGTACGCCCAGCGCGAGGGTTCATGTTCTCCTCGTACGAGGAGTCTCAACTTCCACTGCAGCCACCCCCCTGCACGCTACGCCGCATGCCACATGCGTGACCAGCAGCACCTTTTACAGTGGCTCTGGACGAGGAGGGAGAGGGACGGGATAGAGAGGGGAGGGAGGAGCGGCGGACAGAAAGGGGGCCGCATGGGGTTGACAGATACGGCTTCCTCTATTCCTTGCGCTGCATGACACCCACACCACCACCAGCACCAGGAACAGGGGCTCTCGCAGAGGGAGGGGAGGGATGCGAGAGAGAGGGAAGTGAGATGAAGGAAAACTGCTATGCTTAGCTATCCCTCCGCTGCATGACACCCATACCACCCCCAGCACCATCAACAGGGGCTCTCGAAGAGGGAGGGGAGGGATGGGAGAGAGAGGGAAGTGAGATGAAGGATAACTGCTATTCTTAGCTATCCCTCCGCCGCATGACACCCACACCACCACCAGCACCAGGAACAGGGGCTCTGGAAGAGCTAGGCGAGGGATGGGAGAGAGGGGGGAGGGATAGGAAGGATAACTGCTACAATGAGCTATCCTTGCGCCGCGTGCCAACCACACCAGCACCAGCACCATGAACAGAGGCTCTGGTTTAGGGTGGGAAGGGATGGGAGAGAGGGGCCAATGGAGGATGGATAACTGCTATGGTGAGCTAGGGGTCGGGGGCAGAAGGTGAGAGCATCGTACGCCCAGCGCCACGTCCCTGAAGCGAGGCGTACTGGGAATGCCAATCCCACTGCAGACATGCCGCTATCACTGCGCATAATGCCACAAACACGCTTACCAGCAGCAAGAGGGGTTGAGAGAGAGAGCTGCAGCTATCACTGAGCCCCATGCCACACATTGTTTAACACTAAAACAATCTCACCTTCAGCAGCTTGGGTGTGGGCATCCCACGCGTTCGACAGACCGGTACGTCTACCGTCGCTGGGCTTTCTGGCGCCACGCCTGGATCGAGGCCCCCTACAGATGGGCCGCTCGACAGAGACGCTAGAGGAGGAGGCCTAGATGGAGGGGTGCAGGGCTTGACAGGTCCTTCTGATCCTGGCCTTGCCTTGAGTGCAGCGATTTCGCGATCCCGCTGGGCAAGCTCTCGCATGAGCTGCTCCACAGTCCTGCCGCCAGCCACATCCGGCCGACTGGATGCGCCAGGTGTGCCCATGCTCTCTCCCCTCCCCTCCTTAGTCGCCGGATCCATTTTCTCATCCCCCCCTTCTCCCCTGCTCTCCCGTACATCCCACATGGAGCCTTCCACACCGCCGCCACATTCACCCAAGGCATTCGCCCACACACCTCCTCCCACACCGTCATTCGCTGCTGCAGCTGCCGAGGTTTCGTGCCGCTTCGTTGCCCCCTCGTTTTTCACATGAACCGCGCGACCCCCCATATGGTTGGGGGGCGGGTCCGTCGCTTCCCTGCCAAACCGCGCTGACCCCCAAGCCATCGGATCTCCCTTCCCAGCCGAACCCATCGGATCGCGTAACGCAGCGTACGGGTTCGCGGCTTGCCGATCATGAGAGCTTGATGTACATCGTATCCCCATGGACTCGTAAAAATTCAACTCCCGCTTCGCCTTGCTATGCACACCCACAATTTTAGCTTCGAATCGAGGTCTCTGGCGCTTGCCATGTGGTTTGGCACGACGCACACTCTGTTTACAGCTCTTCACCCGTCCCCTCTCCGATTTTTGCTTAGCGTTGCCCTTCTTGGGCTTCCGCACACTCCTCCTCTTCAAAGGCCGGGCCTCCTCCCCATCCTCGCTCTCCACCTCCAACTCCTCATCATCCTCGTCCTCCTCCTCCTCATCCTCGTCCTCGTATACCTCCTCACTCCCGGATGAGCTGCTCGACTCACTGTCGCTCGAATCTTCCTCGGAACCAGACGAGCTCGAAACGTGCACATTGGGGCCGTGCCGAGCTTGTCTCGCCTTATGGTCGCAACTGCCCGGATCCACAGCCTTGCGCCGTTGGTACGGAATCACAGCTTTACGTCCACCTTTCCCATCAGTCACTGCTGCTGGCTCGTCCTCATCATGATCGTTAACGCCACGGCATGCAGGCACGGCATGATCCTTCTCGTCGCCACCATCCGCATCCTGCGACTGCCTGCCCGAGGGACCGCCCTTAGCCGCGGCAGCCCTGCCGCCGTTGCACATGCCGCCACCACGAGCTTCCGGCTCGGCATGATCCTTCTCGTCGCCACCATCCGCATCCTGCGACTGCCTGCCCGAGGGACCGTCCTTAGCCGCGGCAGCCCTGCCGTCGTTGCGCATGCCGCCACCACGAGCTTCCGGCTCGGCATGATCCTTCTCGTCGCCACCATCCGCATCCTGCGACTGCCTGCCCGAGGGACCGTCCTTAGCCGCGGCAGCCCTGCCGTCGTTGCGCATGCCGCCACCACGAGCTTCCGGCTCGGGATGATCGTTCTCGTCGCCACCATCCGCATCCTGCGAGCCCGAGGGACCGCCCTTGGTCGCGGCAGCCCTGCCACCGGTGCGCTTTCCGCCACCACGAGCTTCCGGCTCGGCATGATCCCCCTCGTCGCCTCCATCCGCATCCTGCGCCGGCCTGCCCGAGGGATCGGCCTTAGCCGCGGCAGCCCTGCCGCCGTTGCGCTTTCCGCCACCACGGGTAGTAACCGGCTCGGCATGATCCCCCTCGTCGCCCCCATCCCCATCCTGCAAGCCCGAGGGACCGCCCTTGGCCGCGGCAGCCCTGCCGCCGTTGCGCTTTCCGCCACCACGAGCTTCCGGCTCGGCATGATCCCCCTCGTCGCCTCCATCCGCATCCTGCGCCGGCCTGCCCGAGGGATCGGCCTTAGCCGCGGCAGCCCTGCCGCCGTTGCGCTTTCCGCCACCACGGGTAGTGACCGGCTCGGCATGATCCCCCTCGTCGCCCCCATCCGCATCCTGCGACTGCCTGCCCGAGGGACCGCCCTTGGCCGCGGCAGCCCTGCCGCCGTTGCGCTTTCCGCCACCACGAGCGCGTTGGCCTGCCGTCCCATCTGCGAAGGCGGACATTACAGGTACATAAGAAATACTGTGCACACATTATCTTATTGGCTGGAAGTTGCAGCATGACATGCGGCGTCATTGTAATGAGTAACGTGCAAAATATAAACCGTCGATATCACACCCACAGCGTACCTAAGCTGTCAAGTCCCCCGTCTTTGCCCTCCTCGCCGCCTTCAGACGCAGGCGTTTCCTCACGATGTGAACGAGTGCCTCTTTTTCTTGGACGGTGCTTACGCCCCCCCCGGTTGTCACGCTTGTCCGCTGACGCTGATGTGGAAACACAATTGGAGAGACGATAACCTCCAACAGGTCACACACGACTACAAGCATCGTTTCATGCATACAAGTAGAATATTCCGCATCTGCGACCATAAACACGTACCTTTCTGGCCGCCTTTGGGAACGAGATCATCTAAGCGCTTCACGCGCTTATCCCTTGGTTTCGGAGGGGATGATATGCCCTTGTTTGCGTATGGCTCAACATCGCAGTCGCTATTCGATTCGTCACCGGATGACGAGACACGTCTGGAATCAACAACATCTCGCGCCGTCGACGCATTATTTTTGCGATACTCGTTTACGATCTCGGCCGTCTTATCTGCTGTTACTAACTCCGCAAAATTTGTTTCGTCGGGGGTTTTAGTCGAATCAGCCAGTACGATCGCCCCCTCGGGCCCCTTCATTGTCTGACTTCCTTGTTACGATGTCTAGCTTTCCATTCACGCAGTACTATGAGGTTGCGGGTTGTGCTACCGCGAAGAACCTGACAGTAGTCTACGAGCATGAAAAATTGGTTGAGGAGGGAGAGGGACGAGGCAAAGTCTGGGGCCTAGAGCAGACGATCGTCACAGCTGGAGGCATGCAAGGGGAGCACGGAGGTGATGAGGGTTTGAGTGTTTCCTGCTATGGTGCACGTTGCGACTGCCAGGTCCCCCTTTTCCGCCAACAACCAATTGCTTGGTGGTTGAGGTGTATAAAGGAAAAAAATGCAGCACTGCCGTGTTAAGATTCCGTGGGACCTAACGTGCTTGATTGAGTATCAGTCCACAAGCGGCAGGGTGGGCTTCTTTTTGTTAAACCCGACAGTCAAATGCGCCAGTGTATCTGAGTTTGCGAGGGTCATAATTATTCTGCCCGGGTTGTCGCACTGTTTACAATGAAGTGCCTCGCGTGCCACACAAACCTACACAAGCTGCACATCAAGAGTCACATAGGGTCTGCGGAGAAACGGCGACGCTCGATCGCAGCAAGTCGTACAGCGATGCGATAGGTCGACACGAAGCCGTTGCGGCACGCCTGCGATAAAAACGCAGACTCAAAAGTTCCTTGTGTGTGGTTGCGACTGGTTCGCAAATCACGGAGATTCCCGTACGTGGCATAGCGTGGAGTCGAGTGGAATGGCGCAGGGCGGGGCACGTAATGGCACATTAGTTTGCAAAGCCTCAATAGTGTGGTGTACGTACATGATAAAAATAGAATTAGAGGGTTATGGAGTTGTAAGGAAAATCTCGTTTTCCTTACTTCGCATCCCTGCTCAACGCGTCCATCACTGTAGCACCTCAGTCAGCACCGTTACCACTCGCATCGACAATCCGCCCCCCACTTTCGCACGTCGCACCCCGACCTCACGGCTCGGCGATAACCCGCGCTCCGGACCTTCGCCTCGACATTTTCCCAACCTCAGTCCCAGGCCCGTCGCGCGACAACCACAGTCCATTACCGTTACCACTGTGGTTTCGCTATATAACCTTTCGCTCATACCTTCGCTCAGTTGTACTTTTTTCCCGATAGTGCAATCCTCGTTCGCTCACTCAATTGCACTCGTAACAGGAGTCCCCCTAACCCATTAGCATAGTGACAACTATGCAACATAACAGTGTAAAACCAAACACCACCTTCACAGAACATGCACATAACGGTCTGTGGTGGAGCAGTCATTCTGATACATCGATTGATTAGTAATTATGCATTATTTGATTGCTGCCTGGTCGTTATGCAACGCGTATGGGCATGTCTCCTCTCATGCCAATTGAGGTGCAATAATAATAGAGCCAGACACAAACTCCCCGTATAGGGCATGGCTGCTCTCATGCCATACAGGGCAACCTTTATGCAGGGACCCAAGACCATGCTGTGTTGTATGTTCTAGGTTCATGCTGGAACGGAGTTGAGAAACCCCTGCTGTTCTACCCACTAGAGTTGTGGGGACATGCAGGTATGTTTTGCAACATCACACTGACCCATTGTGTATTGTTTGCATACATGTCAAGCAGGAACGCCAGTGACAAACACTTCCCTACGGGTAGTGTTCTCTAGACATGGAGGACTGGTTGTGGCCAACACTCTCATTTGGCCACACTTGTTGTCAAGTCATGCACGACTGATTCAAGGCCTCTCCATTGCGCTTTGTGTCATGTTTGTTGGCATATCAAGCTGGCAGGACGGATGAACAAACAATTCCCTATTAATCTTGTCCTCATTCCCCCATGCTACCCGCTTCCTTGTTCTTCACTCACACACTTATTCCTCCCACGTACCCGCCTCACTCCCTCCTGCTTCCCGCCTCATTACCTCTGCTTCCCGCCTCATGTCCCCTCGCTTCCGGCCTCATCCCCCCTTGCTACCCACCCCATTCCCCCTTGCTTCCCACCCCATTCTTCACTGCGATCCTCCTCATTCTCCCTTGATACCCTCCCCATTCCCCCTTGCTTCAGGCCTCATTCCCCCTTCCTTCGGGCCTCATACTCCCTTGCTACCTCCCTCATTCCCCCTTGCTTCAGAGCCGCGTCCCCCTTGCTTCCCGCCTCATTCTCCCTTGCGACCCCCCTCATTCCCTCTGCTTCCCGCCTCATGTCCCCTCGCTTCCGGCCTCATTCCCCCCCGCTACCCACCCCATTTCCCCTTGCTTCCCACCCCATTCTTCACTACTACCCGCCTCATTCTCCCTTGCTTCAGGCCCCATTCCCCCTTGCTTCGGGCCTCATTCCCCCATGCTTCCCGCCTCATTCTTGCTTGCTACCCGCCCCATTACCAGCTTTTCACCGCCGCATGCCCCACCTCCAACCTCCAACATTGTTTTTGCCCGAAAATACACAGACCACTTCCTCAAATCGTGACGGTACTGACGGTGCCAATGGAGTGGCGTCCCTACAAGCTCACACGTCGGTAGTTTATGGAAACCATCCTCGACCAACGTGTGCATCACACGCATCGTGAGCACACCACTGTCGTTCTCATTTGCCTGCATGGGTATCTGGACAATCACAGGGTGCGTGAGCGCGTGGTGAGGGCCGGGACGAGAGTGGGGTTTTGGTGTGGAAATTGCGTGCAGGGAAAGGGAGATGCGATTGTTTCAAAGCTCGTACACACAAGGCAACAGCACTCACCGTGACCTGCCTTAGTGGGATGCTCGCCGCCCATGCATCTGCGTCCGACTCAGTGATCCATGCACAGTATCTTATCACCTCGTTTCGTAAGTACCTGCACACCGGGAGACATAGATTCAATGCTATCGTAACCCCGAACTTCTGTACGTGACAATAGCAGACTCCCATTAAAAAGAGAGTACCTTCGCAACGGGGCGTCGACACCGGCATGCGTGCCGTACGAGTCAGCGTGCCAGAGCACGCAGTTCATGGGAATCGGGTCGTCGGGCCTCGGGATGCGCTCGATCACGATCAGGCTCCAGTGACTCCTAAGGCACACATGAGGTCTAACATCAGTAACGCCGACGTTAGACTACCGAAATACATATGGTGCTACGGCTAGACGCGACGACTACTCACTCGGTATTTATCGGAACGAGTACATATGTGAAATCAAAAATACCCAGGCCGAAAGTATAGGCGTTTTCACGCCGCGAAATGTCCTTCTTAGCATATTCCCAGAAATATGATCCACTGTAAAGCCATTTGTTGCGGTCGCGACCGTGTTCGTACTACAGCATCCTGCGCACGCGCGTATTTGCGACAAAGGAAGCGCATGAGATAACCGTGACGAATCTGGCCTTATGATTTCCTAACCGTGATACTCACACACCGAGCCAATCAATTACGATCCCGCTGACCCATTCACCGGGTCGTAGCCTATCGGCGTGTTCCACGTTTATGTCGAGCCAGCCTCCGCCGTAGGGAAAGGGCATAGAAATCGGCTGAAAGGCCAGCTTACCATCTAAACACGGTAGAGCCATGGCTAGGACTTTGACGACCTCAAGATGCGTGTGGCACTAGGGATAATTTGGGGGACGAGCACCGAACTGGAGTTTGGGCTTCTGCAGTCACGACACTATGAGTCAAGAGCAGCCGCGTAGGGTTGTTAGACTAGTCGTCAAATTTCACTAAAGGGTTTCGAGCCAGCCTGGTCCAAACAAGTTTCGCAATCGCATGAGCGATCGAGATTCGCCAAAGCGCCCCCACTTGTCGGGGCTTTGGCAATGGTGAGTGTGGTTTAACCTGCTGACTAGGCAGATACAGCCCCCTTTAACGGCCTTTCGGCCAATCAAACACCTCGCTGACGAGGTGGAACTGTGCTGTTTGGGGCTAGCAATTCCACGCGTCAGGCTATCATGTATGTGCCCTTGTACACGCACTGTGAAAGGGGCATGTTTACTTCGGTTATGGCTGGCATAGGTCCTCTCCTCAGTGTTCACACGTTCACGCTCCCATGTTCTGGGCGTTCCCGTGGTTGTCCCGTATAATGTGATGAACAGTGCTGGAAATCTACGGTCAGTTAGCTAAGGCATAACGATCTTCGCTGCTTGGTTAGGGTTCCGCGCCACACGCATGCCACAAATGTTGCGCGACGCAGCGTGATTGGTCGAAACACAGAGGGCTGTCAGAACCGATTTGTGGGGGAGTTGGCGGAAGTTTGGCAAACCAATCATCGGGCGTCAACCCTTGCAAACAAAAGATATTCTTGAGATTCTAGGTGTGAAGAATGGTCTGGTAGCAATAAAAGAGCAGATATATCGGTAAACTAGTTCAGGCGTTCTAATCTGCCACTTTTAG